AGTGACCACAGGCATGTGCTATCTCCCCTGTCCAGGTCTCTGGGCCTCTTTATCAGTTCTGCTCCAGACTTGGCCTTGGCTGCCCAAGGTGGCCCCTGACCCCACCTGTCAGGACTGAGATCCTCACCCCCCGATGTGCCCCTCTCCCAGTACGCAGCCCTGGTTATCCGCTGCTTTAATCAGCTTCGCCTAACTGTGACCTAGGTACCCAGCAAGGACAACTTAGAGGAGGAAGAGCGTATTCAGGCTCAGAGTTGCAGAGGTTCAGTCCGCAGCAGGCCGACTCCCTAACTCTGGGCCTTAGGTGAGGTAGGATATTATGGCCGAAGGGAGTGACAGCTGACCCACTTCCTCCATGAACACCTCCATGCCCACAGCTGCCGCCCAGCGAGTCCCCCCGGGTGTACTGATCTACTGATGAGACTGCAGCTCCCATGATCTGATCATTTCACCTCTGAACAAGCTTGCATTGACTCATACGTGAGTTTTCAGGATGCCTCATATCCCAACCACAGCATCCACCCATCAACTGGAATGTGACGGATGACCCTTGACCCCTCTCTGTGAAGCAGGGTGACAGGTGTGGGGGACTCGATGAACTCGACCATGGCTGTCACTCTCTGCTCATATGTTGAGTGCTGCTTGCTCTGCGTGTGAACCTCAGGGTGGCTTTTGTGTTGTGCTTGCCAAAGGCCCCGTCAAGTTGGCAAATCGCCTGCGAGGCAGGAGGACAGCGCTGCCCTGGGGAATTCCCAACAATGAGAAGATACAGCATTGGGTAGGAAAAGCAACGGCAGAACTCTGTGTAGAGTGTGGTTGTATCTCTACAAATATTTTAGAACAAAACTTGGGGAGAATTTCCACCAAACTGTTCATGCAATCATGCTCTGGACTGAGGATTAGGGAGGATTTTCACTTTTGCACGCATTTTTTGTGAAGTTTGGAATGTTTGCAGCACACATGTTTTTATAATCAGAAAAAATGATGGTCAGATTAAGCAGAGAGTGGGCTGGGGATGCAGCTTGGAAGAAGAGCACTTCCCAGCACGCATGAGGTCCTGGTCCAACCCCCAGCACTGCAAAATCAGAAATAAAAAAAGTCAGAGAAGCCAAAGTGGGAAGCACAGGACTCCAGGAGTCTCGAGCCCCTGATCCTGAATTTGCATCTAGGCACCTGTGTTGGGTGGTACTTGCTCATTTGTAATCACCATGAAGTCCAGGACCTGACTGTCTTAGGTACTTCTGAATTTTCAGAATTTAGAGAAAGTGAGGTTGCCAGCCAATTGGAAACTGCTGTAAAAGATGGCAGATATTTTAGGCTTTGCAGGCCAAGAGAGAAAAAAAGAAGTCATGTAGGTACTGTTTATTTATTTCTGTGGCATTGGGTATTGAGGCCAGGTACTGTACTACTAGGCCCCATCCCTACCCCTTTTTGTTTTGAGACAGGGTCTCACTAAGATGCTAAGGCTGGCCTTGAACTTGCAATCCTCCTTCCTCAGCCTCCCAAATCACGTAAGTACTTTGGACAAAAGAGAAAACTGATTTCCACACACGGGACTGATGAAATCAAAAACAGCATGATGATTGAGCGCACTTCTTTTGTCATATAAGTCTACACAACAATGAGAAGAATGGAATTCCTGGGAGGAGAGAAAACATTTTGTTTAACTGGAGTTTGAAGTTAGTGTTCTCTGCCACCCAAATCAGCTGCGTATGTCTGAATTTTTCTTTTTTAAACCATTTAAAATGTAAAAGCCGACTGGGTGTGGGGCACGTGTCTGTTAGTCTCAGCATTGGGGAGGCTGAGGCAGGGGATTGCTGGCGTCCAGCCAGGGGTCTGAAGCCTGGGCAATGTAGCAAGGCCCCATCTCTGAGTCAGTCAGTCAGGAGAAACCTCCGTAGGCAGGCCATGCAAGCAGCAGGTCGGGCGGGCTCAGGGCTCCCTGTGATAATACAATCTCAGTTTAATAAGTGACGGGGAAGAAAGGAAGTGTCCACATTTGAGTATATTGGCCTCTTGGTCTGCAGTGTTTGGAGTCCGAGGCGTGGATAACCACCTGCAGGCCTACACAGAAGACCCCCAGGTTGGGGGTGGACGTCGCATGCTGGGGGTGAAGGGCTTTGGAGGAACCGCACAGCCCACAGAGCGGCCGCGCCTGGCGGAGCTCTGCCTGAGGGGCCCGATGGTCCCTGCTCTTCCTCTGGGAGCAGGTTAAATGTCCCCCTTCCTGCAGTCGGTTTGTTGCAGAGGATGGTAAGGGTGAGGTGGGGAGGACTGACCCAGTGACCACTCTCCCCACCCCTCTGTCCCCTGGCTGAGACACTGCTGGCACACCGTGTAGGGACAGAAGGTGACACAGTGGTACTGGTCAAGCCTCCCTTGGGCCTGAGCATTCCCATGCCTACTCTCTGCTTCCCGCTGGGCCTGTCGGCAACTCCCGTCTCCACTGATCTCGGTGCCCAGAGACCAGGGGTGGGGTGGGGAAGCCTGCCATTCCAGTGAGGCGGTTCTGGTGCCCAGTTCCGAGCTGTTGAGGAGGGCTGCACTGGGCTTTCTGCATCTCGTCCCAAGCAGGGGACGCATCTGCTGCTCACTACAGGGGCTCCCGGGAACGCTGTGGTTCTGGGAGTGCAGCTGCCACAGAGAAGCAGTGTCTCAGGGCCATGGGAGAGCTGGGGCCAGTGCTGGGAAGCCACCCGGCTGGCTAGGTGCGTCCCCAGAGACACCGTAAAGGAGGCTGGAGGGCGCTGGGTCTCGGGTGTGCCTGCCCTAGAGGCTCCTGTGGAGGTGAGTGTTTAGGCACAGCCGCAGCAAGGCCCCCTGGTGACACCCATGAGGGAGAGCAGCCTCAGGAGGCTCACCTGGGAGGCCGCCCACTGTGTGGCCACCTCCCAATCCCAGTGAGTCCAGGGCACCCAGCACCATCGAGGTCCAGGGCTTGGGCAGGTCTCCCAGCTCTGCACTCGCACCAGCGAGATCCTCACCCTCAATGCACCTGTTGACTGATCTGAAAAACTAAAGCCCTCCAGGAATTATTGTGAAGATCAATGAAACACCAACATGAATGCTGGGCAGATTCCCTGGCATCTTGAGTCATGGATAAATACTGCTGACGAGAATGAGCTTTAGGGAGAATTTTGGAGAAAGACTGGGGCAGAAAACAAGGGCTGTCCTTGGTCCTGTAGGAGCAGCTAGAGACTTCGAGGGGCCCATGACCTTCAGAGCCCCCTTTCAAATCTCT